ATGTTACGAAATTGTACTAGAAAGGAAAACCGGAAAATCAGAATTATTCGTAGATACACCTGATCAGCTTGAGTCCTCTCATTTAGAAAAGACTAATGAGGCCACATATTGAATCTTGGTGAGCTTTTCAGTTTCTCACAAAATTTGAAGAAAACCATTCATCCGTTTTACTTGTAACTGACTTTCGTGATGAGTAACATGAGTTTTTGATTGGCAAAGTGCATGATTTACTCCTTTTTAATCTCTCCTGTGTCATTTTAGCTCAAACTGTCGAATAGTGGCTATAACAAAACGGGTTGGTTTGGACGTGTGCCTTGTACGGAGGATCAGTATAAACATAGAGGAGTTTCTCTCAACGATGTTTATAAGAAGCTCGCACCAACAAGGCCTAGAACGGAAGAAGAATTTTTTCGAATTTTCTTGACCATGCTATTCGTGCAAGTGAGTTTGATTAATATCAGCTATTGTTGGAAATTTTGCATGTTTTCGGCTTACGACGTCGAATCTTGGCAGAAAGGCATTGCCGAACATCGCAAACATCTTAGCAACTTTTTTACTGGTAAGAATGTGATTCGGCAAGTTATTTTCTTTTTTTACAACTGATTTTTACAGATTTTGTGGAACTCACCTTACGAGACAACAATCTAGTAATTCCTGAAGATTTTAGAGAAAAGAAAACACAGGAAGTCAAAACATTTATGTGAGCAAAATTTGTTTGTGTCTTTTTTGGGACAGCAACAAAATTGTGCAAGACATACTTTTTTTCATAATACAGTGTTGTAACATTATTGCCCTTTTTCAGATCCGAATTCCAACGAATTGCCGAAGATGAGGCTAGAAGAAAAGTGAAGCAAGAAGAAGTTAAATTAGTTGAGAAAGTGAATCCTACTTGTTACGATTAGTTCCAAAAATTTTTTCTTGGAACAGCGATAATAAATGACCAGTTTTTACTTTTTCTTGATTGGCTTTAGTGTACTTCTTTTCGTCACGAAAAAGAGCGCATATGGTAAAAGTGGACAGGATCACTTATCGACGATCAGGTGACAAAAACCTGTCTTGAAATTAACAAAAATTTACAGAGCCAGTTGTCCGATTTTAGTTGTCATAGACAAGGATATTGTCGTAAGTGGAGTTAAGATAAAGGAAATAAAGAGGTGAAAACATCCAGAAATTCTTCAACAGTCAACAGGAATGAAGGGAAGAAGAGAGAGTGTTGAGAGGTGTCGTTCTGTGGTTTTTTTTTGACTAAGGTTTGGCGAACGACGTATACGCTCATTGTTAAAGCTTCATTATGCGATATATTCAAAATCTATATACTATTCATATTTATATTATGGTAAGGATTTATATAAATACATTACACAATTGTAATGTGCCATATC